CCAGAAATGTTCTGTCGCATCCACCGTTCAGGATATAAATAAAACGTGGAGCGCTACTGCTTTGCATCAGATTGAAAGTTCATTTACGTGGACGTCCTCCTCTTGGAGACATAGCTGCAGCCATCTTATTGTGTTCGCAATTATTGCAATATATTGCCGCGCGCAAGATCACTGACCTGTAGAAGGTCCGTCCAGGGGCGCTAAGCTGGACGCTTGGCGAAAACGACGGCGAGAAATGTGGCGGCCGCCATTGGCCAACGCCACACTTGACCTTGGCGCCGGCCAATCATAGCCGCCGAATTTCCCGCCGACTTCTCCGACAAGTGTCCACATTAGGGCCCCTGCTCTTTTTTTGTTTTAGAAAGTGCAGGTTCATTCTCGCCCCGAGCGCGCTACGATCGAACCTTCTCCACCGAATCTTCGAGGTAGTGACTCACTCTAGATAAGAGGCCGCCGGCGACTTTGTCGAGTCAGTCTCGCCCCAGCGTTCGGCTCTGCTCTCTCGCCGAATTCGACGCCCGCGACGCACTCCTGTTATCGTTTGTTACCTTTTTATTTTTGGGCACAAGTTCGCCCTTATGAAACGTTTCAGTTTCGCCAGTTATTCTGTTTCCTCTCCCGTTCATTCGCGACAATATGTTCAACTAACGAATTGCATGGTGCAATATTGTTTCATTGCTGTAGTTCACTTTACTCAATTATTGCTACATGTTTTCTGACTCCCACTCGCCTTCCGAGCAAGCAGATGTCCAAATTTATTCTGTGAATCTAGACCTTACTTTTTCGATCAATATTTTTTTCCTTGTTCTCTTTTGGCCATTAAATTGACTCGGCATGATGCCATGGCACACATTTATTATTTTATCTAGGTAGAGGCCTTACTAGGCCAATACACGTGGAAATGTTATATACACAAGTAATTGTACAGTTGAGAATCTTTATACGCACATGTTAAAGTAAGCAACACCAAACTGAAATAAAAGATACAAAACAAGCCATAATTAGGCAAAACACACAAAAAAGTAAAATTTAAATATATGTTAACACAGGCACGCTACAGAATGTAAACCTAGGAGCGTCGGTGAAAAAATAGAAACCCAAATTTGAACGTGAAAAAAAATTTTTACTAGGTTGTAAATTTAATCACGAGTGAACAAATGCCATCATTATGCCTTATTGATACGTGGTTCTCAACAGAAAGCAATTATTACATGAACTTCGTAATCATTTATAATTTAAGAACCCTGAAGGTGCTATTAAAATACCGAGGAACCAATAAAGCTCCTGGATCAGCTTAATTCCTTTGGTACCCTCGACGTTACCCTTAAAAAACACTCCAGTAAAACAAACAAGAATTTTTCCCAAAAGCCTAGACAAGAATTGTGTATAAAAATAGTTGATGACGGAAGTTCGGTGGAGAAGCTTGAGGTCGCAGCCCACTAGGCTCCGACCCTGCTTACAGGGTGCCTACATCTCTCATCGGCTGGAGAGACGATTGACGTGTGAAAGGTTGGTTGTAAATTTGTATCTCCGTGCCGTAATAGTATTTTAATCGACATTTTTTTTATGTTTGAGAAACAACTCCCGTCTATATTGTTTCCAAATGTTTTCTGAAATTGGTTCTCCGGCTTTCGCTTGAGACGTTAAGAAACATGGCTGCCAGGGTCTGCTGGGTGCTGAACGGGCTGAATGAGCGTAGCTCGTTGAGCTCGTCATTTTTTTATGAGTGCGGATCGTTTTGAGTGTACAGAACGATTTAGAGGAAGATTTCATGAACGGACATGGTTTGCAGCAAACACCTGTCGCAAGTACGCTTTTTCGGCCGCGCTGTGTGGATGCTTGTTTCTGTAGCGGGGCTTGCTTAACGTTCCACGTCAACTGTTCTGATCAATCTGGCGTAATTTCTTTCTTTGCAGGTGTTCATGCTGAATGAAAATGTTGGTTTCCATAAAAGCGGCCCCGCTTTTCTGTGAATTTTGCAACCACCCTGATTGTAACCATGGTTTCAATACCTGGAAGATACCTACTCACGTACGAATTTGCGAGCCAATTGGCTGGGGGTAATTGGGCGCTCGCCTCGCATCAAGTTAGTCGAAGTGTGTTACCGTCATTTGGCTTCGATAGGCGAGTAGCTCTCACGTTTGCAAGACCCCTGGACTGCCAAAGAGAATAATTTCAGGTAACGTTTTAATTGTGCGTCATGACGCTCTCTCACCTTACTAGCGGATGCCATGAGAAAAAAAAAATAACAAGAACATAAAAGCTTCGATGACTGCATATTTATTTTGTTCCTTTTTTTAGTTTCCTTTGTCGCTTTTTACCGTACATCGACAGATGCTGACAGACGCTTGTGTTTGACTGTTGCCTGCGCATGATGGAACGTTAAAACGTCGTTCACACGGTCGAGTCTTGCGAGCGTAGAAAAAGCTTTTAGACAGGGGCGGAATACTAGCTGACGGACGTAGGTGAAAACGGACGCCGACGGGCAGCGTTAATGTTCGTGTCCTTTGGGCACGGCAGACGACGATAGACGGTTTTGAAATGGCACGCGATGCCGGAAGCTGCCGCGCGTCTGCTCTCACAACTAGCAGGTGTTGTCGGACTTTAGACTAGACGCTCTTGATGTCGGGAACGAGAGAAACCAGGCTTGTTAGTGTGTTCGGCCCAGCAGCCAACCCAAACCAGTAGCAATGAACGGGAAAAGTGATTTGTGGGCGAGACAGCGAGGTACAGGGACTTACAACAATAAATTGGCAGCTGAAAGGGGCCCCCAACGGGACGGCGCCATCTTGCACATTTTTGAGCAGTAGACACATTACCTTAGAGTTTTACGTCAAACGTTTACCGAAGTACCGCGCACAAATATTTTCTTATTAATCTTTAATAACAGTACTCACGACATAAGTCAAAAATGTGCTTTTACAGCAAAAACTTGGGCACCTTCGCAATGCCTCCGCCACCTGAGTGCATAGCCTCGTACAAAGAACTAAACATACGCACAAAGGCGGACTGGAAAGGTGAAGGAGAAAAGCTTACGTGCAGACAAAACGGGAAGGCCACGGCTTACGAGCCCCAGGAAAGAAAGATTCGATACTGTACTTCGTTCATCCCTAAGCTGACAGTGCGGTGGGAGCTGCGAGCTAACCAGAACCAATCAAACACCACCTTTGAATCACCGGACCCGTCCCTTTCTCTGCACGTTGGTATGAACCAGAGCGTGGGTACGTGGCGAAAGATAGACATGTGACTGTTCCAAAAAGCCCGTAGCTTCAACCGCATGCACTGTCAGCTTATGGATGAACGAGTTTTCGGCTACAAGGCGAAGGACACGTCACCAATGAGAGAACCGGACAAGCACGTCTCTAGCCTTCATGTTCTTTCGTCAAGCTAGGTCAAACCGTAGGCTTCGACCATTGTGAACAACAGACGATCTTAATAATTAGTTATTTCCAAAATCCTTGTCAAGGCCCCAGAACGTTTCGTGCGTCCTAGAGTAAAGCAGGTGCCGCTCGCGGTATGCATCGCTGCCTTCCCTTGAAAAGTTTATTCGGGAACAAGCATACAAGCTAATATCGCCACCCGTTTGTTGGGAAAGTACACAGTTTAAGAAGCGCGCATCATTCCTTTCCTCAACTGGCGACGCTTCTGGTCAGCAATTATCCAGCCCTTAGTGTGACAATGCACATAAACTTGGGCTCTTCGGGTGTTTGAGACAATTCTTTTTGGGAGGACGGACCGAGAATACGTCAACTAGTGCACTTGGGGCGATAGGATTGTACTGCGTCCGAGGCGGAAGGAAAACGTTTCACGCAATGACTCCTCGTAAGAACGAGCTTCCATGGCCCAACTTAACATACTGACACGGGACTATAATTTCGTCTAAATCAGGAAGAGGGAAACATACTACCCTACTAGTAAGGACCTTCACCTTTAAATGAACAGAGAAACCGGTGAGTCGACTGTCGTTGAGCCACATGTAAAAGAGCTATTCGTCATATTTAATACCGATGTCGTGTGCGCCAGCAAAACGACTGTTCAGTATGGTTCACTTTGACGCGCATAAGGCTGTTGCAGTACGAACAGGAAGGTCTGAGTTTTGGTACATCTACGGTAAATAAAACACGCACAAATTACTGCTTCAAGGCATTAAAAAGTAATGCAGAAGGAATTTCATTACTTTTGGAAAGTAATTGTAATGTAATGTCATTATTTTTAGTCTGCGGTAATTTGTAATGTAATTTAATTACATTTTTGGAGTATTCAGGATAGTAAGTAGTTAATGTAAATTAATTACTTTTAAAATTAATTTTGCCATCTCTGATGCAGGTCATGTGGTTAATTAATGGATAGGATTAAGAAAGAATATAGAAGAAACTAGCAAAGCTTGCCTTTAAACGTGGCAAAGCTGGAGGCTCCTCTCTATAGCTATGATGTGCACCTATAAAAAAAGCAATATTTTTTGTCAGCTAGGTCTACAACTGCGGTCTTAAAATAAAAGGACCATTTCATGGTCCTCGTCGAAATACCCGGTCATTAACGATCGCCGTAAGAAGGGACGTTAGGGTCAATTTCATTTTCATAGTTACAAAATTTGTTTTTCTAATTTTTAAACTAATTTTTTACGGGCTTTACCGCTTACTTGGCATATTTTATAAAGATGCAATGATGGGCCAGGGTGTCATAAAAAAGTAGATGTAAGGAAACGTTTTATATTGTTAATGCTTAAATTGCCAAAAAAAGGAGCTGCTACAAATCCATCCCGCTGTCGCTGTGATCCCAGCCAGTCTCGCCGTTCGGGCGGGACTCGTGATCCGTGTCTGGTACGCTCCGCGGCGTGCGTCACGCTGCGTTGGATCACTGTCACGCCTCTTGGCGTGGCAGGCATTCCTGTAGCTATCGCTTGTCCGCTACAAGACGACACCAGGCGCACCTTCCGCCTACGCAAGAAAATTTCATGGCACGTCTCCAACACCGGATTTGCGATACGCTCGCAGTAAATCATGCGTAAAACAAAACTTAGGGCCAAAAGTAGAGACGGAGAAGACTTATTTGGGCGTCGCAATAACCTGCAACCTGGAGTTGCAGGTTATTGCGACGTGAAGGGAAAAACACTAGCTGTAAAGAGGACTTTTTCATCGCTGGTTTGTTTGGACTGCAACAATATAAGAGCTTTGGACTCCGGTTAGATACCACGGCTTTGCGTAGAGCTCGAAGAAGGTGAGTAGGGTTGCTAACAGGTAGAGGCACTGCTTCTCACTTTTCGTATTGTTTTTAATTGATGCCCATTCTTGTTGTTTGTGAAACAAAAAAAAGCGTGTAAAAGTAATGTTGTGGCTCAACATAAATTGCAACTAAGATATTTAATCAGCAGTCCTACTTCATACAAAGAAGAAAAAAAATACTTACTTGCTCGCTGAAAAATAACAACAGATAAAATAGCTTTAATTTACACTGCTGCTTTGTAAGCCTCTTGCTGGTAATTATTATACGAAATAAAGGGGAAATTAAAAATAGATATATTGTTAATTCAATTCAGAGCTAGCAGTTTAATTGCGCACAATTTAAGAGTTATTTTCGAGCTACGATTAAAGCAAATTAACAATCATAAATATTGTTGTTGGTGCGGCAGGACGCAGGCCAAGTAGAACACCGCATCATCAACTTTGAAATCATGAAGATCATTGGTGTTGCCTTGATCGCCCTTCTCGTTGCTGGTGAGTGAATTTTTGGTAGTTATTCATTAAGATCTCGAACTCTGAACTCGAAAGCTGCCTTTTCAGCTCTTATTTATGAACCCTATAAAATAATGTCCCGCATGTTTCCAACTTTTTCAGGAGCGTTTATTACTTCCAGGGCACAAAGGGAAGAAAAGCAAGTGGCTCACGTTCGAGTTCGTGAGTTACGCTTCCCCAAATATTTGTGTCAGTAAAAACATTAGAAGAAGTACAGTAATCTTTATGCAAGATGCGGCTAATAGTTTGTTTTGTGATGTTGTTGCAAGTATTTTGATCCCACTAAGCTTCAGAATTTTCCACGAAGTGTAAAACAACACGGGCTATGTGCTATGCTATGTAGCATTGTAACCTCGAAAATCCTTTTGAGCGCTTAGCGTTAAGAGAGAGAGTACCCAATTAATAGGCTGTACGCATGCTCCCGTTTTAATATTCCATCAATATTCCGACCACGTGCTATTCCGCTCTCAGCATGGACGGAAGGTTACCACACAGAGAGCTACTAAAGTTTTTCAGAACACCTTCCAGATCCCAGTAGACAAAGCTGGCCGCACGCAGAAATCTATTATTGGAATGATCTACGTTTCTCCGCACACAAAATCAGATAGCAGCCAACCAATTTGACGCAGCGTCTGCATTAAGCAGTCACGTTAAGGACTTTAAAGGATTCATCTTCAAAGTGTGCGTGCACGAGCCCACGTCAGTCCGACGGCCAAACGTTCAGAGCTACTCAAGGACTCAACAACAGTGACGGAAACACTTCAAAGCAAAACGTTTTCGTCCTTTATCAATGGCGAATATGTTTTAACTTAATAAAATTTGGAACATTTGTGGAAGTTTAAGCCAAAGAGCTTCCCAGCCTGCGCATCGTCCGAATATCCCCCACGCCCCAGGCCACCCTATTTTCGCCATTTTATATATGTTCTTAATCATGTCGTATTACACCTGAGACTGCGGTGGAAGAAATCGGAAGAACTTTCAGTAGAAGGAACAGACACAGAGAACGTCTCAAACTCAGCTAACTGGTTTATTTCTCAAACAGCCTTTAAGTACCCACGGAACTTTTTCCCAACCACACTCAACAGATAAACTCCTTTGTTGCAGACATTTCAAACCGGATGGATACAAAAGATACAAAACAACCCACACATGGGACGAGGACTTAACAATGGGACACTGCGGATCATCGCAGTGACCTTGACAGAGATATGTCCCGAATTATCCTAACAGTCGCGTCAAAGCGCACAAAAAAAAAAAAAGAAAAACCACACACAGGTGGTCTCTAAACCGTGGCAACGCACCCAGAAAAAAAACAAAAACAAAAAAAAAACACCACAACTAACACTTTTTTTCCCCCCTTTCCTTTCTTTGGGAAAACACACCCAAGTGATCTCGAAATCGCGATCACAAGCACATTTAAAAAAAAAAAAAAAAAATTTTTTAGATGTATATACACATATACATTGTCTCTCCCCCACCTTCTTCTCGTAAACCGAATGCGTTCGTTCAAAGTCTGAGAAACTTTTTGGAGTTGCGTCCAAGTTGCATCGATGCTTGGCTTATGCAGTTTCCGATAGAACTTATTCTTATTGTTTCTTTAACGACCCTCTTAATGTCATTTCGCTCTTTATGCAGAACTTCTGTCTCTGACCAATGCGCATTACAATTATTGCATTCCTCTATGTGCTTTGCTATTTCGGAGTTCGGCGCATGCGTGCGTACATTTCTCTGGTGTTCTAGTAACCTGTCATTAAGGCATCTTGAAGTTTGTCCCACGTACTTAAATCCACATGTCAACGGAATCTCATATACTACACTCTCTTTGCAAGGAACTGAAGGTTCCCGATGGGCCTTCTGACAACCCTTGTGGTCCGACAGAAAGGGCGTCAACCTGCTTAATTTTAAATCTGAAGAAAAAACTACGTCCACGCCGAACTTTTTTGCGAGAGCCTTTAGGTTGTGGGAAATCCCGTGGAAATACGGGATTACTGCTATAGCAAATAGCAAAGCACATACAGGAATGCAATAATTGTAATGCGCATTGGTCAGAGACAGAAGTTCTGCATAAAGAGCGAAATGACATTAAGAGGGTCGTTAAAGAAACTATAAGAATAAGTTCTATCGGAAACTGCATAAGCCAAGCATCGATGCAACTTGGACGAAACTCCAAAAAGTTTCTCAGACTTTGAACGAACGCATTCGGTTTACGAGAAGAAGGTGGGGGAGAGACAATGTATATGTGTATATACATCTAAAAATTTTTTTTTTTTTTTTTTTAATGTGCGTGTAATCGCGATTTCGAGATCACTTGGGTGTGTTTTCCCAAAGAAAGGAAAGGGGGGAAAAAAGTGTTAGTGATGGTGTTTTTTTTTTGTTTTTTTTTTTGTCTGGGTGCGTTGCCACGGTTTAGAGACCACCTGTGTGTGGTTTTTCTTTTTTTTTTTTTTTTTTTGTGCGCTTTGACGCGACTGTTAGGATAATTCGGGACATATCTCTGTCAAGGTCACTGCGATGATCCGCAGTGTCCCATTGTTAAGTCCTCGTCCCATGTGTGGGTTGTTTTGTATCTTTTGTATCCATCCGGTTTGAAATGTCTGCAACAAAGGAGTTTATCTGTTGAGTGTGGTTGGGAAAAAGTTCCGTGGGTACTTAAAGGCTGTTTGAGAAATAAACCAGTTAGCTGAGTTTGAGACGTTCTCTGTGTCTGTTCCTTCTACTGAAAGTTCTTCCGATTTCTTCCACCGCAGTCTCAGGTGTAATACGACATGATTAGCTACCACCAGCTCGCCTGCACTCTCACCGTCTTTTCAATTATATATGTTCTTAGTTAATCTCAATTTAAATCACGCGAGTTCGAATTTAGTGATTCTTCACCAGTAGATTTGTTTTGCAACATTACAGATTGATCGATCATCCTTTGGATCGCTGATAACAATGCGGAAAAAAGGAATTACAGTAAATGTTGAGTATAGTTTTATTAACAACTTCTCACTGCAGCAATCCCTGCCGCACTATAACAAAAACAGCTTGATTTTTTTAGTTATTTATAAAAAAGTGCCATTTGATTTTGTTCGAGTTTTGAGTTGATGGCAATATGACATTAGTTTTCTAGTTTTTGTTTCCTACTTATTCCTTCGGAGTTTGTGGGAATTGGACGTTACGTGGTTGACGAACGAAGTGGAAGGTGGAGATCAAGCTCAATGCTTCTTTTTCCGCAGAAGCGCACTTTATTTTGCTCTTGTTCATTCTTATAGAAATCTTTATTGCTTAATTATCATTTTATTTGAATACAATACGCTTGCACATAGAAAGCATCAAACAATAAATGGACGATTAATTTAAAAAATTGGGGATTATTATATAACAACAAAAATAAGTCTCTATTTCCAGTGCCCAAAAAGAACCAGCAGATATTTTTAGCGGGAAATGTTTGATTTAATTAATCATTGAAAACTGGTATCATCTAAATCACAGTTGAAATGATTATAAGTTATATTCTACACCCTGCTTTACATCAATTGTGGTGCGACACCAATCGATTTTTATATTGACAAAATTGATTAAGCTGATGCGAATAATTGGTGTTTTGTGCATCTCGTACACTATACGTGTACGAGCTTTTTAAAATGTAAGGTTTGTGCTAATTCGATATAAATGTGTTTTTTCAGGACGCGGTTTTGGATGTCCCTTCGACGAAGACACCTGTCTGAAGCACTGCGAGAGCACTGGAGGATACGGAGGTTTCTGGAGTGGACCTGTGATGCAGTCGTGCGGATGCTATTACATTGTACATTGATAAGTTAACACGAATGTATGGTGCTTTTCGGTAGGCTGTGAGCTTATTTGCGGGGATTGTCTTATCTCGGAAACAAATCTACTTCTGCAACAGCATGTTTATCGTCCTTGCAAAGGGCGCTCAATAAACTCCTTACGTTGCTTCACAATCTGTATTTATTATTGTAGGTAATTGAGCGCAAAGATATTACATTTTCACTGGTAATTTTCTCTGCCTTTTTTTGCGTGTAGAACAGATTGTGGTGTCATGAATCAGCCCCCCCAAAAAAAAAACACCGGCCGTAGTGGCGAAAAAAAAACCCGGCACGGGCGTTTCTGGCACGATAAACAGTTGGGAATGAAATTAGATCGGCCAGCTGCGAATTTATGCACAAGGGGTTGGGCAGAATGAATACACCACACGTCTGTCCGGAGCAAGACATACATTGGCAATCCTGAACAAAATAGGCTACAATAAATGAAAAATGACAATAAAGACAAGAAACAACAGCACGAACAACAAACAAAGTTTAAATTGGCTGTTTATGAATGAAGAACACAATGCGAACATCACACCATGAGTTCTCAGGGGAAAACGAGGATTATAAATTGCCGCGTATTCATTACAATAAAAAGAAAGAGTATACATATTCAAAGTGTTAAATGTCCGTAACGTTTTTTAACTCTTCAAATATCAACATTATTGTTTATATATATATACAGATATAACTATGCTCGTTTATATATTATCTATATATATAAACAGACATACGCAGATGAATGAACCCTACTTAATCCAATGAATCAAAGAATCAAAGTTTTCAGGAACCCGCCGAAAGCCAAAAAAAAAAAAAAAAGGCGGAGCGAGGATTTGAATTCTGGGCCCCCCAATGTCCGGTCAGGTGTGCTAACCTCTACACCACTCCACCTTGGCTTTCTGGCGTTTCCTACCTGTCTTATTAATGCATACGAAACGAAATGTATCCAATCGGAGGTGTTCTGGAAACACACGCCGCCGCGTGGAACGGGGTACGAAGCTTGGTGTCACGTGGTACGTGAACATTTGTTCTCCAGAAATCCTATTTGGACCCAAGATATTAATCCGAAAGTACATATACTAAAAAAACCTTTTAGTACATATACTAAAAAAAAAGCGCTGGTTCCCGCTTCTCCAAAGTACATATACTAAAAATGGAGTAGTGTAGAGGTTAGCACACGCGACCGTACATTGGGAGGCCCAGAGTTCAGATCCTGGCTCCGCCGTTATTTGGCTTTCGGCGGGTTCCTGAAACCTTTTATTCCTTGATTCATTGGATTAAGTACGGTTCATTCATCTGAATATGTTAGTTTATATCCTCCTCGGAGACCACGTACGATGGTGTGAAGAGCTCGTGTTATATATTCAATAACGTGGCTCTTGATTCTCTCAGATGATGATGATACCGTGTCTCTAAAGCTCGTAAACAAAGAATACTACATGTACACCGGAGGAGACAAACAGTGGGAAGATTTCTGGAGCACAAACGAGCAGGTACCACGTGACACCAAGCGTCGTACCGCGTTCCACGCGGCGGCGTGTGTTTCCAGAACACCTCCGATTAGATACATTTCGTTTTTTGTGCATTATTAAGACAGGTAGGAAACGCCAGAAAGACAAGGTGGAGTAGTGTAAAGGTTAGCACACCCGACCAGACTTTGGGAGGCCCAGCTTTCAAATCCTGTCAAAGCTGTATGTTGGGCTAGTTGTTATTGGTCTTGGGTTGCCAAAGGCATGGTAGCGCTTTTTTGGACGAGGACAAAAGAAAGAAAGACAAGACAGACACCAGCGCTGTCCTGGTGTTGGTTGATTGATAGGATCGAAGCGTGTATGTATGCCTCATTTCCATGTTGATTAAATAGTTGCAGTCAGCGTTCGTGTCTGTCTTGTCTTTCTTTCTTTTGTCCTTGTCCAAAAAAGCGCTACCATGCCTTTGGCAATCCAAGTTCAAATCCTGGCTCCGCCATTTTGCGCGCGAGGCATAACGGTTATCGCTAGTGGGTGCCACACGGAAAGCCAGGGTTCGATTCCTGGCCACAGAGGCGCATTTTTGTTGACTCTAACGTAATGTTCTGGTAAGTTCGAGAACCGTGTTGCTTCTGCGAGGTCAGATTGTTCTACAGGCCGAACCTTCGACGCCGATTATTCCAGAAGCCCACACGCCACACGTGTACATAAGGGGCTCCGCGCGGCAATCTGGGGTCAGTCTCGCCCCAGCGTTCGACTTTGCTGTTACGCCGACTTCGACGTGCGCGGCGCTCTGTTATTATCTTTTGTACCCTTTTATTTGTGGCACAAGTTCGCCACATTAAACGTTTATTTCTTCCCGTTTATTTATTGTTTTTTGGTTGCCACCCGTGACATTTTTGTGGAGGTGTCGGGTACGCACCCTATGTTTCTTAACCGTACGCCTCCGAGGACCCGTTCGGCCAGCCCTACTCCAATATGTCGATCCGTGGAAGAGGCAGGGCCCGGGGCAAGCCAGCGTCTGCAAGGACAATGCGCTGAGTTTGGACCACTGCCGGACAAGACAAAGAAGCCATCAAAGCCGACGATGAGCCCCCCGGTCCAGCAGACGGAAAATCTTCCAGCCGTATCGTCCTACGTATTCTTGCCTTTGGTGCCCCGCGTGCCGACGCCATTCCACGGTCAAATCTACGAGGACGTAGAAGACTGGCTCCTGCAGTACGACCAAGTGGCCCGCCACAACGGATGGACTGATGAGCAACGCCTCAAGAACATCTTCCTCTCACTGGAAGGGACAGCAATGCAGTGGTATGAAAACACGAAGTCGCAGTGAGCACGTGGTAAGTTTGTAAGAACGAGTTGAAGAAAACATTTGTCAGTCAACACCGACGTGAGCGTGCCGAAGACCTGCTTCGAGGGAGGAACCAGGGACCAAGGAAAGCGTGGCATTTTTCACTGAAGACGTTCTCCGCCTGTTCGCCCGCGCCGACCCGCAGGCCACAGATGAAAAGAAGCTGCGGGAACTCATGCGGGGTGTCATGGATGACATTTTCGGCGGCCTTGTCCGCAATCCTCCGTCGACTGTGGAAAACTTGATCTCGGAGGTACCAAACCTTGAAAGGGCGTTCCTCGCAAGGGCGAACCATTACCAGTTGCATAATGGCGCCACCGTGATTCCAATATCTACCTGCAGCATCAGTTCCGACAACTCTGACCTCTCTGCGATCCATGAGGTGGTTAGAGACATTGTCCGGAAAGAGCTTAGGAAGTTGGTGCCGGCAGCAGAACGACCGCTGCTCTCTTACTCACCGAGCTCGTTAAAGAAGAAGTACAGCGGGCCTTTCAACCGGAGTCTCCTGTCGACATCGCTGAACTAGAAGAACCGGTAATAGCCTACGCTTCAGTGGCGCGACGACCACCACCGACTGCTCGCCTATACACGTCGCCACCTCGACGAGACGCCACAGCCCCAAACTAGCTTCGGCGAAGGAGAAAGGGTCCCGTACCTCCGTCCGGAACAGCCCGAACCCAGAAAAACAGACGTGTGGAGGACGCCCGACCGACGCCCTCTGTGCTTCCACTGCAGGGAAGCAGACCACGCCTACCGCCGATGCCCATAACGACGACTCGGACTGCGCGGGTTCCACCCGAACGACCCGCGCCCACGTTATGGTGAACGCCCTCGGGAAATCGACGAGTACCTGCGACGACCTCAGTCCCCCGAGCCTGCGTCCCGCCGAGAGTTCGGGTCGCCGTCGCCACGACGTCCAGTTTCGGCGACGCTCCGACCCCGACGTGGAAGCCTGTCGCCCCTCGCTCCTCGCCGGGGAAACTAGGTGCGGCAACCCCTGGAGGTGGTGTTGCCGAAAATGACCGACGCAAACATTCTCCACAAACGTCGGAGGGCCCCCACTCTAACGGCGGCGCACGTACAAACAGCGCTCCTGCGACCGTAAAGAATAACCTACACGTCGTTATCGACGGCCACGACGCGTCGGCTCACGTCGACACCGGAGCAGACTACGCCGTCCTGAGTGGGAGGCTCTCCCAACGCCTTCGGAAAGTGACGACGCCGTGATATGGTCCACAGATACGAACTGCCGGTGGGCACCTCATCACACCAGTCGGGAGGTGCACCGCTCGCGTCGAGATTCACGGTGAGACATGTCCGGTGAAGTTCCTTGTTCTACAAGACTCTGCAAAAGACGTTATACTCGGCATGGACTTTCTCTGCGAATACGGCGCCGTCATCGACCTGGAAGTCAACCAGCTGATACTGCGGAAATTTGTTATGAAGCCCGGGAACCAGGAAATAGCGCCGGCCGCCTCAGCCACAGCACGTGTACTGTCCGAGCACGTGAACTTGCAACCGCCCTCGAGTGTGCTGGTGCCCGCAGGAACCGAAACAGCAACCTGCGGAGACGCCCTGCTGGAAAGTAATGTTCAGCTGCTCCTAGGCAGAGGGATCGGTTTCGCCAGAGGCGTAACGAAGCTCCAAGATGGTCGCACCGCTGTCCTTGTAACCAACTTCCAAAAAGAGGCTCAGCACCTTACAAAAGGTACCACCGTGCGACACGTCGACGAGCTCCAGAATCGCCGGAATCTCTAAAGACTCCCCTTCGTCGCAACGTGAAACAGCGTCATCATCTCAGATCGACATCGACCCAACCTCCCCCTTTCCCACCTACGACAGCTGACTGACCTCCTCGGCAAGTTCTGTGAGTGCTTTGTCACTTCATCAAAGATGCGCCATACGACGATTGTGAAACATTGAATTATTACTGATGACGACGCTTTTCCTGTTCATCGGTCGCCGTATCGTGTATCCGTGAAAGAGAGAGAAGTCATCCAGAAGCAGGTCCAAGAAATGCTCGACGACGACATCGTCCAGCCCTCAAAGAGTCCGTGGGCTTCACCGGTAGTCCTGGTGAAAAAGAATGATGGGACTCTTCGGTTCTGCGTGGACTATTGTCAACTAAACGCCGTAACGGAAAAGGACGTCTACCCACTGCCACGCT